CCTCCCCCAAGCCCCCCCCCCCCGTTTCAGGCTGACCCCCCCTTGTTTCCTGGCAGACTGGCTGGTGGACAGGAGACACTGTAACCTGAAATGGCAGAGCCAGGTGCTGGCCATCCGCGAGAAGATCAACGCGGCCATCCAGGACATGCCGGAGAACGAGGAGATCAAGCAGCTGCTCGCGGGGGCCTGTGAGTGGAGTTTGGGGTCGGGGTGGCCCAGGAGAGCTGGGACACTCCCGGGGGGTGCTGCACCGGGAGCCTGTTCCCAAGGGCTCGGTTATGGCAGCCTCCTGGGGAGGAGATGGGGAGCTGGTGACACGGTCTCCTCCTGAGACCTGCGCTCCCCGGGCTGAGCTGGGAGAGGGGTGACACCCGGGGGGCCTCCCAGTGACCCCATCCCTCCCTCCGACACAGACCTGCACTACTTCCACTGCCTGAGGATTGTGGAGATCCTCAAGGGCACTGAGGCTTCCACCAAGAACCTCTTCGGACGCTACTCGTCCCAGCGCATGAAGGTGAGTGGGGGCCTGGGGACGTGGGGCCGGTGAGGGCCGGGGTGTTCGCGGCCTCCCCCACCCTCTGCTGCCTCCTCCCCAGGACTGGCAGGAGATCGTGTCCCTCTACGAGAAGGAGAACACCTACTTGGGTAAGACAGCTCTGGAGAGCCCTTCGGGAGGTGTCCATGGGTGGCTTTTGGTCTCCAAACTGGGATGAGGTGGGCAGGAGGTGGTGGGGTGAGGGCCCTGAGCTGAGCTGCCTCTGCTGTGTGGCCGGGACAGCAGCCACGATGTCTGGGGCACCCTGAGGGCATCCTGGGGGGAGTTGATACGACCTCTTAACATCCCCCCTTGCCCCCCACCACCCGCAGCCGAGCTCTCCAGCCTCCTGGTGCGCAGCATCAGCTACGAGATCCCCTCTCTGAAGAAGCAGATCGGCCGGTGCCAGCAGGCCCAGCAGGACTTCGCCCGCCGCGAGGAGGAGTGTCAGCTCGGGGCAGCCGAGCTGCGGGAGCGCTTCTTCGCCTCCTGCAAGCAGTACGGCATCAGCCACCTTCCCCCCCCATACAAAGCAGCCCCCCCACCCCTGCCTTTGGCCTCGGCAGGGATCAAGCTGGGACCTTGTGTCCCATATGGTGTCCCCATGGTGCCACCTTCCCGGTGGGAAGGGTGTAGGGTGACCCCCACAGCCCTCCATCCCCTTCCTGCCCACCTCTAGCTCCGCACGCAGAGGGAGAAGCCACCCTGGGGGGGTGTCCTGGCTCCAGCCCCCCCACCCTGCCACATCCCTGCTCTGTCCCGCAGGGTGACAACGTGCGCCAGGAGCTGCTGGCCCTGGTGAAGGACCTGCCGACGCTGCTGTGTGAGATTGGAGCAGGAGCCAGCGCGCTCTCCGAGGCCATCGAGCTCTACCAGGCCTGCGTGGAGTTCGTGTGCGAGAGGTGGGTGTGGGGGGCGCAGGGATGGACCCCCCCACGTCTCCCCTCCCCACGTGTGGGGACAGCAAACTGGGCTGGCGGGGGGGTTCCTGCCTGTCCCCAGGCTGGGGCTCTCCCAGAAGGGACCCTGGTGGGGTTGGGGGTGCTGGGAGGGGTCGCTGATGTCCCCGTGGTGGTTGCCAGCTCCTCAGAAGTGGTGGTGCCCCTGCTGCGGCACGTGGGGCAGAAGGGCAACACCACGGTCTACGAGTGGAGGACGGGGCTCCAGCCCCTGCGGGTGGAGAGGCCCGAGGTGGAGGAGGTGCCGGAGCAGCCGAAGGAGGACACGGTATGTCCTGGCCAGCCGGGGCCGAGCCGAGGGGCTGGGGACACCCAGTGACTTAACCCCGCCTTAGGGTCAGGCTGTTTGGGGTTTCAGGGGGTCTGGTGTCCTCCTCCCCACAGATCGACTGGGGAGACTTCACCCTGGAGCCCAGCAGGGCGGGTGACGGCGCCGCTGCCAACGGGGGAGCCCAGAGCGACGAGATCGACTGGGGCATTACTGTAGAGCCCACTCCCCAGGTTCGTGACCCCTGGCTGTGTGTGAGTTTGGGGTCTGGCCCCTTCTCCAGGGCTAGGGTGGGGATCTGGGGGTGTCCCGGCTCCCCCCCTCCTCTCACAGGGCACCTTTTCTCTGGCAGCAGGATGATGGCATCGACTGGGGAGATGGTGAAGGCGAGGAGGTGCAGATCACGGTGCTGGAGGCTGGCACCGAGGGTGAGCGTGGCTGCCGAGGGGGGCAGGGGGTCCCAGGCATCCCCCACCCTGCCTTTACCCCCCCTCCCCTGCCTGCGGTGACCCCCAAACACCCTGGGGTGCAGGAAGATCTGTCGGGGACTCCACTCAACAGTGGGGTGGGGTGATGCTGAGCACCCTGTGTGGGACGGGCCGTGGTGTGGGGGGGTATGGCCGGGCTGTCCAAGCCATGGACACCCCTTCCCTGCTCCTTCCCTGTCCCTCTGACCCCCTGGTTCCCCCCCCAGTGCCCGAGGGGGTCGCCTGCGGCTCCGACGCCCTGACGCTCCTGGAGAACACTGAGACCCGGAGCCAGTTCATTGACGAGCTCATGGAGGTGGGTGTGAGGTGGTGGGGGGGGTTTGAGGTGGGCAAGGAGCAAGGAGCAGCTCCACCACCATCCATCCCACCCCGGGGATGGCAGTACCCGAGTGTCCCCCCTGCCCTGTCCCCGCAGCTGGAGCTGTTCCTGTCCCAGCGCCTGGTGGAGATGGAGGAGGAGGCCGACGTGGTGGCCGTGAGCCAGTTCCAGCTGGCCCCCGCCGTGCTGCAGGGCCAGACCAGCGCCCACGTGGGCTCCCTCCTGGCCACCACCCGGGCTCTGCTGGGCCAGCTCTGCACCCGCAGCATGCAGCACCTCTTCATGATCCTCGCCTCCCCCAGGTCCTCGCTCGGGGCCGGGGGGAGGAGAAAAACAGGGGGGTTTCATGGATTTGACAGAGTTGGAAGGGACCTCTAGAGATCATCTGGTCCAACTCCGTGGCCAAAGCAGGGCTGCCCAGAGCACATCACTCAGGAGCATCCAGGCGGGTCCTGAATGTCTCCAGAGAAGGGGACTCCACACCCTCCCTGGGCAGCCTCTGCCAGGGCTCTGCCACCCTCACCCCAAACAAGTTCTTCCTCAGATTTGAGTGGAACTTCCCATGGTCCAGTTTGTGCCCGTTGCCCCTCGTCCTGTCACTGGGAACCACTGAGAAGAGTCCAGCTCCATCCTCCCTCAAACAGCCCTTTAGATCCTTGTCAGCATTCATAAGATCTCCCCTCATCCTTCTCTTCTCCAGGCTGAAGAGTCCCAACTCTTTGAGCCTTTCCTCATCAGGGAGATGCTCCAATCCCTCCATCATCTCTGTTGCCCTACGCTGGACTCTCTCCAGCAGTTCCCTGTCCCTCTTGAACTGGGGAGCCCAGAACTGGAGGCAGGATTCCAGTTGTGGCCTCCCCAGTGCAGAGCAGAGGGGGAGAATGACCTCCCTCCACCTCCTGGCCACACTTCTCCCTATGGAGCCCAGGATCCCATTGGCCTTTTGGCCACAAGGGCCCATTGCTGGCTCCTGGAGATCCTGCCATCCACCAGGACCCCCAGATCCTTTTCCTCAGCAGTACTTCCCAGAAGATCCACCCCTAACCTATATTGGTGCCTGGGGTTCTTCCTCCCCGGGTGTAGGACCTTGCATTTGCTCTTGTTGGACCTCATGAGGTTCTTCTCTGCCCAGCTCTCCAGCCTGTCCAGGTCCTGCTGGGTGGTGGCACAGCCCTTGGAACTTGGGAGAGTCAAGGGCTTGGGAGTGAGGGACAGATCTGAGCCAGGAGGTGGAGATGTCCTGGGGTGGGGTGGGGATGGCAGCAGGGTGGGCCATGGAGGTGAGGGAGGTCCTGGCTGTCCCCAAACAGGTACGTGGACCGGGTGAGCGAGCTGCTGCGGCAGAAGCTGAAGCAGGCGGAGCTGCTGTTGGCCAAGAAGGAGGTGATGAGCCAGAAGCGGCAGGAGGCCCTGGCGGAGCAGGGCTCTTTGGAGCCCAAGCTGGACCGGCTGCTGGAGAAGACCAAGGAGCTCCAGAAGCTGGTGAGGGAGGGTGGTAGACCCCGCTGCAGGGCTCCCCCCAACCCTTTTTCCACCCCCTTCCACCTCCTGACCCCCTTGGCGTTGTCTTGCAGATCGAGGCCGATGTCTCCAAGCGCTACAACGGGCGGCCGGTCAACCTGATGGGTGTCTCCCTGTGACCCCCCCATCCCATCCCGGGACAGGCACCCCCGGGGGGGTCCTGCACCCCAGACCCCCCCCTTTTCACAGCCTTGGGGTGCTGGTAACGTGGCCATGGCCTCACTGCAGGGGGGCGGATGTTGCTGAATAAATCAAATCCCATCTCCCACCCATCGCTCTGGATTTTGGGGGGGGAGAGGAGCCCCTAACCCCCCTGCTGTGTGTCTGGGGTGACACCGGGGACACATCCCTGTCCTTGGGGTGGCCCTTACGGGGGGGTTCTCCCCACTGGGGGCCACCAGCCTTTGCCTAGGCGGGGTGGGAGGGGTTGGGGACACAATGTGGTGGTGGTGGTAGAGGGGGGGGTGGGCTATTCGATTTTAATTTCATAGCAGAGCAGTTGATTCATGGCCGGTTGTCGCCGCCGGTGACGCCCGTAATGACTTTCCATCAGGATGAAAAGTGGAGTGACACCGCTCATTATTCCTCCCGCTCGTTATCGCCGCCTGATGGGGGGGGGCCCCCCGCCCCCGCCGGACAGTGAGCGATGGCCCCCATTAATCACACACCCCCCCCCAGCCCCCATCCCTTCCCAGGCAGAGCCTGGCCATACTGGGCTGTA